TGATTCGAATATGAAATGCAGTGAGATCGGCAGAAAGGTCTTGTGGTGTGAGTGACACAGCACTAGGTTGCGCCACGAATCAGATTTACAAACAGAACAATATTGACAATTGATTTCTATGGAGTGGCAGCGCATGGGTTGCAGGGTTTTCTGGTTCCGGGAACTTCTCCCTGAAGACGGCGTCGCACACGCCGCACCCGCCGCGTATCGCAGGATTGTGATGGCAGATTGGAGCGCGCAATTTGTGAGGTAGGGAGTCCTTTAATTATTTGAATTGGCTGACCGCTCCCTTCAATTTCAGTGCAGTCTTGATCATCGCTTACATAGGACAATTCATTCTAATTAATCAAGTCTAATAAACATAAAAATGAAAAAGAAATAGAAAAAACGATCAAATCTAATAAAAAAGAAGGGCAATTAACGAAAAACTCCGCGTCTTATCGATTGGCGGAGAGGCGGAGGGAGTACGGTAGTTGCAGTGACATTCGCCGCGCCGCATGCCGCAAGGGAGAATGCCACAATCGGGGAGAAGTTCCGTTACCCGGGTTCTCTCAAATAAGGTTGGAATGAATTTGTTGCCACAATATCTACCCTCGAACGGTCGTCAAACTGTTGGATTTACATATGGACAATCTCGTGTATAAAAATTTTGGAGCAGTTTTTCGATGATCTAAAATACTTCTTGACTTGAGCTCATTATAGTTATTAGCGTCACAGTGTAAAAGCATATTAGACTACCTGAACCCGTGTTATGGGATGTGCTCGGAAGTACTGTAGTACTGTATTTAGGAGGCAGTCGATCACTTATGCCCTTTCTCGATGGGTAAAAGGCAATGTGCTGGAGAGGCATTAGCTCGAGTCGAACTTTTTGTTGGTGTCGTCTCATTACTTCAAAACTATAGGGTACGTTTGTTCGATGTGATTCTGGTGACGTCTATTTCGAGGCTCTTTTCTCTTTGTTGAAGCTTCTGTCTTCGAAGCGAGTTGGATATGTAAAGTAGTTATATACGCTATCAAAGTGATAAGCGTATCAGAACAATGCCACTTTTTTCATCTTCTGCTGAATTCGGGACACAGGAAAGAGAAGCCTCAAAACTTTTAAAAGTCTAAATCAAATTTCAATAAAGTATTTCCAGATCGAACCGTCGAAAGGGCGTAAAGTCGATTTGGAACCGATATTCGGTGGAATTCTTCTACCGAAAATTCAACCTCTCAGATTGGTCCCTATTATACAATGACATCGACCAACTACTAACAGTTTTCTAACATAGTTGATTCTTCGGTAAAAGCGGACCATTGTCATGACTTGCTTGTATATGATTTCATTGAATTGTATATAAAATAGTAAACTGAATCACCGTGGCACATCGAAAAGTCTTACTAGAACATTGCATGACGACAGTGAACAGAGGAGGCGGTATAGCGGTAACTAGCAAGCACTACTGCACCCCATGGTCCAGGGTCAACTCCTGGACCGATATAAGCTCAGCCCAACCGAGCCTTCCGTCTGTTCGGGGTCGGGTAAATAATGCCAGTATCGTCTGGGATGGTAGAAACATTGACCTGTACANAGCACTACTGCACCCCATGGTCCAGGGTCAACTCCTGGACCGATATAAGCTCAGCCCAACCAAGCCTTCCGTCTGTTCGGGGTCGGGTAAATAATGCCAGTATCGTCTGGGATGGTAGAAACATTGACCTGTACAGCGATTGGCCGCCGCAAGTCATTGCATGGGCCTTATACACAATCAATTGAAACACGGTTTTGAGTTGTGTGCTGGGGTACCCAAAATGATTAGGAATGAACTGCATCAATGGGCCTTATACTTTAGTATTGAACATTTAACATTTTACGATTGCTATCAAATTCAGTGAAAATGAATAGAATAAAGGGTCACTGCCGTTGCTAATCATCGAGATAATAAGCTAAATACGCTCTTCAGACAGAATGCCTTTGGAAATGCTACATTGATTTATGGTCACCGCAAAGCACCCATTACACGGAATAACAGGGAGCCAAGGAGATGAATGTTTATAAGGCAGTGGTAAGATTCGAGATCATCAAAGAACACGTCTACTAGACTCTGAAGTGTGAAAGGAAACGTCACTCCGTCTTTTGCATCGAGACTTTGCAGGATGGAATTTGCCTAAGTTACCTTTACGTGCTACCGTATCAAAGCACAAATTAGCACAGTAGTTAAAGAAACGCCTGAGAGGAGCATGACCTCCTAACTGAGACGGTCTTAAGGGCACAGTTCCCGATAAAAATGATTTCTGAAATTTCCCTATAGTATGAATTGGACGCTTATCCTTATACCATACCTGCCCTTGTAAAGTCGAAAAAGGCCATAGACAAGGCACAATAAGGGGTCAGAGATTGTATCGTGTGAATGCCACACCCATCGTGGACGAGTTTCAACGGCTTTGTAGAAAATGCACCATCTCAAGAGACTCCCATGTCCGCAGCTCAAACAACTTGTTACAACCCATGGCGATAGTGAAAGGCCGTTTCGGACAATATTGGTTCGATGCAGTCATCTCTTTGAACAAGGTAGATCTCGTCCAGGCACCCCCTACATACCATTACCGTCACGGTGATCTCGTACAACCTCCACTTCCACTACTCTTAAGAAGCCCTGAGTGGACGGATTTTCACGCTTTTTCGCCACCTCTACATCAACACTTCCACTTTTCTACCTGAAAAGGGTAACTCAAAATTATCGTGAGCTGTGCCTTTGAGAGCCTTCTTCCCTTTATTTTGTAATGAGCTTTGATGCAAACAACATAACAGTTGATAATGAACTAACACTCTTGTTTTACTGGACGAATATTTGTATTCAAATACTTATTTGGAGACCTTGCAACTTCGCATGGACCTTGAACATAATGTGTAGGTCATTCCTTATACTCCTGCTGGTGCTTAGTTGGTACCAGACTCGACTGGAAGTAAAGAAGCATCCATTGTCCATCCAGTGGTCATCACGATTCATTGCGTGGGCTATATACTCATCCAAAGCGTCACTATGATTCTAGTGGAAGTCGGATATGGGACCAATCTAGGAAACGGAATTGACTAATACCAGAATTTCTTATTTCCCATCCTTTTGTATAATTTCTTGTATTTCTTTATAGTTGATTGACTTCTGTTTTACATTAGACCTTTTGTTGCCTGAAATCCCAGCATGATAACAACAAGAAAGACAGTATGCTTTTAGAACTCAGTCGAAAGACGAAGTTTGTATTGTGCGAAGTGCTGAGAATGTTTACTGCCGTATCGCACAAATCACAAAGGTCGCAGGCGGGTATAAGTAGGAAAACCAGTCGATTGGGGGGTGTTCACACATGTTTTTTCTTTCAGTATTACTTCTTTTAACTACTGCTCTAGCCATCTATATATGGCGATTTTATGAAAACACTAAGCGATATCCCAAAGGACCACGTCCATATCCGTTCGTCGGGAATTTACTTTCTGTTGGTATCTTTATACTATTCATACTGCCTATTTATTCTCCGATTGTTTCTTGCTCGTTATAGTTGGACTTCGCCAGAATCCATGAGGAATTTGCTAGATATACCAAAGAGTACGGTAATATATTCACTGTTTATCTGCCCAAGCCTCATGTGGTTATTACCGATTTCGACGGTGTCAAGGAAGCGTTCGTGAAAAAAGGTGTGTTTGTGACCCACTTTGGCGTTGTGTGTGGTCTGATAAGCAGATGCATCCAAATGATTTAATGCTCTGAGAGTGTAAATAGCAATTAGCTCCGCAACGTGTTAATCCTTTTCTTCGTAATCATAATAAGCTGAACAGGCACACAAAGTAAACCAATCGATGACTACGGGAGTCCTTCCATTGAATTTTGTAGGAACGATCTCATCGAGTACCGGTATTGAGAAGCGAATTAGTGATCATGCAACTAACTTCATCAACTGTGAACTTACGCCACTGACTTCATCATGCCTATAGAGCTCCTGATTTTTAGGTGAAACTCTCAATGGATTACATGAGAATGGGTGTGCAAACTCAGGCGTGAAGTTCTTCAAATCTGTGCGTAGTGCGAATAATTTTAAAGGCACGGTTACGATAAGAATGGTTTCGGAGATTTGCACATGGTACGAATTCGGGGTTCCCT